AGGCCAAGCCTTTCAGAGAACTAGCAGTGCCCACTTCCATCCTCTTAACACTGTAGGAGTCCTGAACTGCCAGTTAAGAAGCCTAGCCAACTTGCTGGAAGGAACCATGTAGAGAGAGAGATACCACACAAAAATGGGAGGTGGAGCCACCCAGCCACCATTTTGGGGGCAACAGAGCCCCCAAGTAAGATCTGCCGAACCACCAAGCCGAGCCCAGACAACCACAGAATGATGACAGCTAATAACACGGTGTGGTTTAAAGCCTCTGTTCTGGGTGGGTAATTTGTTTCATAGGAACGGATAACTGACAACACAAAGTATAGACATACATACAATTCGCAAATGTGTCCCCCTTCTAAAACACTAGAAATCAACATGACTTAGTTACAAAATTCTCCAATAAAATAAATCAAATATTGCAGTTCGCCGAATGATTAATACAGCATGGCCAAGAAGAGTGTAACCCAAAGAATGCAAGTAGTTCAACAATAGAATTCTATTCATATAATTCATAACATTAGGGAATTAAGTGAGAAACCATATGATCATCACTCAAGTTCTAAAAGTGCATTTGGAAAAATCATACTTGTTAATTACTACTTTGTTTTTAATTATGGTATTGATTTGTTTTAAGGCTTCAAGTTACATGTGGGAAGCCATCAGTTTTGGTATTTTTTTACTAGAGAAGCATGGGATACAAAGATTGAGAAAGGAGACTATGGCTTTCCAATCAAGTCATGAAAAAGATAAGCTGCCAAAGGGAATGGAGATAATGCAAATGCAGAAGAAAGGGACGAATGTATGTATACAACTATCCTTTTCATATTCATAATGGTAACCACAGGCCAAAGATTTAGAACTGAAGTATATAACACAAAACAAGAAGGACCAGAGGGAAAACCCACAAAAGCCAAACAAAATCAAGAAAACAAACACAAGAACAAGGAAGCAATGGAAACACCGAGCTACCAGAAAGCAAAAGATAAAATGGCTACAAGAAGACCTCATATTTCGATAATCACCCTAAATGTAAATGGACTGAACTCACCAATAAAAAGGTAGAGTTGCAGAACGGATCAAAAAACGAAACCCAACCATATGCTGCCTCCAGGAGACACATCTCAGCTCCAAAGACAAATAAATATAGATTCAAAGAGAAAGAGTGGAAAATGATATTTCAAGCAAATGGCAATCAGAGAAAAGTGGTAGTAGCGGCACTAATATCAGAAGAAAAAGACTTCAAAATAAAAAAGGTAAAGAAAGATACTGAGGGACACTTCATAATGATAAAAGGAATCATGCACCAAGAAGACATAACACTTATTAATATCTATGCTCCCAATCAGGGAGCCCCGAAATACGTAAAGCAATTACTAACAGAACTAAAGGGAGAAACACACCAAAACACTATTGTTGTAGGGGCGCTAAATACTCCACTGTCGGATGTGCAGAGATCACCCAAACAGAACATCAATAAGGAAATAACGTTCTTAAAGGACACATTAGACCAACTGGACATAATTGACATACACAGAGCCTTCCATCCCAAAACAGCTGCTTATATATTCTTCTCTAGTGCACATGGAACATTCTCTACAATCGACCACATACTGGGACACAGAAGTAGCCTCAACAAATATAAGAGGGTTGAAATCCTGCCAACCATATTTTCTGATCATGAGGCTTTGAAACTAGAGGTCAACTGCAAAAAGGAGCAAGAAGAACCACAAATACATGGAGATTAAACAACATGCTACTGAAGAATAACTGGGTCAGGGAAGAAATAAACAGAGAGCTCAAGAGATACATAGAAACGAAGGATAATGTAAAGGATATTGATAGTACAACATATCAAAACTTTTGGGACACAGCAAAAGCAGTCATAAGAGGAAAGTTCATATCATTACAGGCCTATCTCCAAAAACAGGAACAAACCAAAATAAACAACCTAGTGCTTCATCTTAAAAAACTAGAAAAGGAAGAGCAAATGAAGCCAAAAGTCAGCATAAGGAAAGAAATTGTCAAAATTAGAGCAGAAATAAATTGAAAACAAAAATACAATAGAAAAAATGAATGCAACAAAGAACTGGTTCTTTGAGGTTAATAAAATGGACAAACCCCTGGCTAGACTCACTAAGGAAAATAGAAAAGTATGCAAAAAAAAGTAAATCAGGGACGAAAGAGGGGAAATTATGACTGACATTGCAGAAATACAAAGGATCGTACAAGAATACTATGGAAAAGCATATAACACCAAATTCAATAACTTAGAAGAAATAGACCAGTACTTAGAACAATGCAATCTTCTTAGACTGAATCAAGAAGAACTAGAAAATCTAAAGAGACCAATGAGCAGTATGGAAATTGAAATAATCAAAAATCTACCAAAAAGTAAAAGTCCAAGACCAGATGGCTTCGCCAGTGAATCCTACCAAACATTCAAAAAGATTTAATACCTATTCTCCTCATACTCTTCCAGAAAATCAAAGAGGAGGCAATACTTCCCAATTCATTTTATGAGGCCAATATTACTCTGATACCAAAACCCAGTAAAGATAACTCAAAAAAAGAAAACTACAGACCAAGATCTCTCATGAACACAGATGCAAAAATTCTTAATAAGATACTAGCGAACCGAATACAGCAACATATTAAAAAGATTATACACCATGATCAAGTGGGCTTCATCCCAGTGGCACAGGGATGGTTCAACATAGCAAATCGATTAATGTGATACTCCACATAAACAAATGAAAAAATAAAAATCATATGATCATATCAATAGATGCAGAAAAAGCCTTCAACAAGATATAGCATGATAATATTTTTGTGTTTTGCAATGACACACACACAAAAAATACCTAGGAATAAATCTAATGAAACATATGAAAGACCTATATAATGGAAACTGTAAGACCCTATTAAAAGAAATTGAAGAAGATACAAAGAAATGGAAAGTTGTTCCGAGTTCTTGGATTGGAAGAATCAACATAGTTAAAATGACCTTATTACCTACAGCATTATAAAGATTTAATGCAATCCCTATTCAAAATCCCATCGGCATTTTTTAAGGAAACAAAACAAAAAATCACCAGATATGTACGGAAGCACAAAAGACCCCGAATTGCCAAAGCCATCCTGAGAAAAAAGAGCGAGGCTGGAGGCATCACTCTGCCTGACTGCAAATTATACTATAAAGCGACAGTAATCAAAACGGCATGGTATTGGCAGAAAAACAGACACACAGACCAGTGGAACAGAATCGACAGTCCCGAAGTAAACTCATATTTATATGGGCAAATAATTTTGAGAAAAATGCCAAAAATATACACTGGAGAAAGGAAAGCCTCTTCAATCAATAAGTGGTGCTGGGAAAACTGGTAAGCCACCTGCAGAAGAATGAAACTAGACTGTTATCTATCACTACACACCAAAATTAACTCCAGATGGATTAAGGACCTGAATGTAAGACCTGAAACAACAAAATGCATAAAAGAAAACAGGAACTAAACTCAAGGACCTTGGACTTAAAGAGGATTTTATGACTTTGACCTCAAAGGCAAGGGAAGTAAGAGCAAAAATAAATGAATAAGACTACATCAAACTAAGAAGCTTCTACTCAGCAAAAGAAATTGTCAACGAGGTAAAGAGAGAACCATCCGAATGGCAAAATATATTTGAAAGCAATGCCTTCAATAAGGGCCTAATATCCAAAATATACAAAGAACTCATACAACTCAATAACAACCAAAAACAAACGATCCAATCAAAAAATGGGCAGAGGACCTGAACAGACACTTCTCCCTAGAGGACATACAAATGACCACCAACTATATGAAAAGATGCTCAACATCGCTAGCTATTACGGAAATGCAAATCAAAACCACAATGAGATACCATCTCACACCTGTTAGAATGGCTATAACAGGAAAAGTAATAAGAAATGTTGGAGAGGATGTGGAGAAATAGGAACCCTCATACATTGCTGGTGGGACTGCAAATTGGTATGGAAAGCAGTATGGAGGTTCCTCACAAAACTCGTAATTTACCCACCATATTATGATCCGGCAATCTCTCTACTGGGTATTTACCCCAAAGACTTGAAAACTCATATTTGAAAAGTTATATTTTACACTGATATTCATAGCAGCATTTATTCACAGTGGCCAAGACATGGAAGCAACCGAAGTGTCTAAAGATTGGCTAAAGAAGCTGTGGTACATATTTACAATGGAATATTACTCAGCTATAAGAAGAGATGAAATACTGCCATTTGCAATAACATGGATGGACCTTGAAATAATCATACTAAGCGAAATAAGCCAAACAGAAAAGGTAGAAAATCACATGATAGCACTAGTATGTGGGATATAAACTGAAAAGCAACAAATGAACAGGACAAACAGAGAATCAGGGACGTGGACCTTGGACTAGTGGTTACCGAAGGGAGGGGGAGGGGAAAAATAAAAAAATAAAATGTTAAAAAAAATCATGTATATATAGTATAAAAATAATAAACTGGCATTTAAAAACAAGATAAGCTGCCAGCTATTAGCAGCAGCAGTCAACATTTTTCTGAACGTTCTAGACAACAAAATCAATGTGAAAAAGAAACGAGTTTATATAAATAGAATGTGGTCAAGTGATATCATAATTTGCAACTTTCATACATCAGCCAAAGCCAGCTAGAAAATATAATAGAAAAAAAGATTCCATTGATATTAGCAACAAAAACTAGAAAATAACTGGGAAACCACTCAAAAGATATAGGATTGTACTTTATGTATGTAACCAGCTTAACAGCACATGGGATGGTGGTATTTAGCAGGTAAAGGGGGGACTTCACTTTCATTTTCTACATTGTATATTTTTTTAACTACACATATTACAATCACAATAAGAAAAAAATGGTATGTTTAAAATTCTAGCCACAATTCTAAATAGCCTGTCAATGTAAATCAATAAAACCTCTAAAATTTCAAATTTTCAACTAGTACACATTAACTTCAAATAAGAAATATACTTTATTTGGGGAATTAAACACAAAAGAACATCGTATAATTTAAGGTTAGAAATGATAGTGAGCTGGCAACACGGTATTGGCCTTCACAGTCATTTATTCTCTCAGGTGACTCACGTGGACTTGAGGGCTCACCTATGTGCATAGTTCCATGCGCTCTTAGGAGTAAATAGGAAGTGACTACAGACCCACAGTTAAAATATCAACATCATCCATCCCATTCACTAGGAAATTTTCCTTACTTTATCAGCAGAGATTTAGAAGAAAATCTGATCTGTCTATGAAAAGTATGGGAAGACATTATTTTTTTTTTTACAAAAAAAAACATTTATTCAGCGTCATGATCAGACTATCACATTAAGCAATCAAGAGCATAGGTGCAAAAGAAAAAATTAAAACACTTTGTAGGAATGTTTTTATACTTTGCACAGAACAGAAACGAAAATAACCTGTTATACAATTATAGTCACAAATATACTCCAAGTTTTTTGCCCACACACATGAGTATTGTCCAAAACATGTCTTCTTTGTAGCAGCTAGGCCCTGCCACCACTGTGGTTGGCCAAGTTCACAAATCTGTTATAACTTGTAGCTTTCCTGTCACTTCTCTGGCTCTCTGGGGAGAAATTATTTTCAATGATGAAAATAATCTGCAAAGGGCAGCCTACTGATCTAAGTAGGTCTATTATAAAAACATACAGATCCATATCCTAGGTAAAGTGTCTCTATAACTTGATTTTGGCTAGAAACATTCCCCTATATAAAAATGAAACTGTGTATACAGTGTGTATGAGGTACCAGGCTATCTAGTCTTAAATTTGAATGCCTATTTCAGATTACTGGCCTGGTCACAGAGGGGACTAGTTGGGAAAGGCCACTAATCACTAGGCAGGAGCACTCTGCCTCTCCAAATGCTACCATTCACAGTTCATTGGGCAATGAAGCTGCCTTCCACTTAGCTGACCGACTCTTCATGTGACTTTTCTGTCAACATGAATCTGGAGGAAAACTGTACCAACTTTCTTTCCTAGCCCTAATTTCTATTTCCCTTTCTAAACTAAACTGGTGATACTGGTGTTAACCCTACAAGCTCACAGACAGGCATGAGGCAGAACAGCTACCACTGTTGGTAATGGGCAAAACACTGTGTCCTTCCTTTTTTCCTTCCCAAATAGTCACACAATTGTCATTAAATATGCTGAAAATTTTTATAGACCATCATCTCCACCTGCCCCTCTGATTTGGAAACATATTCTAGAAAATCAGTTCCCTGGTACACAGTGCACACTACCAGAAACAACACAAGATGTATCAGGACCTACTCTCTCCCTAAACAGCCAAGTGAAACTTTTTGTTTAAAAGATTCTAATGTAATAAATGTTTACTTTCTTTAAAAAAAAAAAAACACATATACACACTGTAGTAACTGTAGGGATGTTATGATTATAGATACAGATTACAAAAAAGAGGAATCATGTACAATATAAAAACAAACCATACTCTTTAGCCAAGTTTAGTCCTGGTTATATTAAAAAATGTAACTTTTAAAACCAAAGAGGGGTGGGGCGAGGGAGGGTAGAGAAAGAAGTGTAGAAGTTTCTGTGGATGTGTTCAGCCTTGCACCACAGGGAAGCTTTTTAGTCCCTCGGCGTGAGGTCATGACAGGACATGTTCCAGAACACCTTGTCTAATCAGCTGTTCACACTTCCACCGAGGTAGAAAGTGCTAAGGGGAACAGATGGAGGAGAGAAAGAGAAATGATTGGAAAAGAATTTCAAATTACATTTTACATCATTTAAAAGCAGCAACTGATTACACATTTTTCAAATTCCAATATATATATAGTTAAAAGCTAAACTTAAAGTATATTTGCTGTAAGACCAATGAAGGAATATCTCCATTAAACCTTTTCTAGGATTTTGTCTAACATCTATTCTAATAACATTGGCAACTTTTTTCCTGTACTTTTCAAGGATTAAAGTATTTGCAACCTATGAAGTATATACTTTTCGTGCAGTACAAGAAGACACCTGTACCCAACTAACAATGGTCCTCCATATCCTGAGAGGATACCATTCTCATCCTGAAGTGGAATCTCCTTGTCCGATGCTCTCTCAACACATGGGGCCATAAAACAGAAGTGAACATTTCCTAAACTTTGGAGTGTAGAGGTACAGGAAGCAAGGCAGAAAGGCTTTCCAAACAAATGGGTGACCAAAGTAATATCAAGGAAAAGACAGACATACTTGGGTGAAAATGAAAAGCAGTATATTAGAAGGTACAGAGCAAATAGCTTTAGAAAATCACTGTAAAAGAAGAGATTACCAAAAGTATTCAAGAAAGCAAAATTCAAAAGTAACTTCAGCGGCACTGTGCACCTAAAAGTCTTTCCTCAAAAATTCAAAGGCCTTATGTGAGACCTGTGACCAAATAAATGCATCCAAGCCAGTCATCAAGACACATGGTGCAAGGATTACTACCTAACTTATTGAATTCTTAGAAAGCCTTGAGAACGTAAAATGTTAAAAAAAAAAAAAAAAAAAAAAGGGCAGGAAGCATATTGAGTTGTTTATTTAACAGTTATTCCAATGTCTTCTAAAAAGTTTCTGATTTCTAGTTTGCCATATTGACAAGCATAAATGAATGTATGATAAGAAAATGTCTCGCTATTAATGTTTATTATAGATTCCATAGAAAACATTTTAGATGTGGTCAGACATTTTAGAAGCCCCTTAATATCAACTATAGTAGATTACATGTTTTTAAAAATTTCCCCCCTTTTAAATTGAGGGTAGGGTGATACTGAGAAACAAAGTTACAAGCATCATCAAGAGGAAGGCATGGTCCACACAGAAAACAACTATTAGCAGAGGAGGGGCTCAGCTGGGTTTCCACCTGCCCCAGCCCTACCTAGGTACTCCCTGCTGCTGAGGAATCACACCACATTTAGTCTGAGCACATACTGGGTGGGAAGATTAGCCATAAAGCTTGAGAAAGAGATTCAATCACGAGATGTGATTTAGGAAGAAGTGACATTTTCTTACATCTTGCTTTATCTCGTGGACCAAAGCTTCACATTAGGTCCTCCAGGAATACAGATTTTTATGAGAACATTAATTTATATTAGTATTAATTCATTAATATTATTCAATTCATTAAGCATACTACTTCTAAAAGGGCACTGGGAGGGAAATTTTGCTTTAATTACCAAAGATTTTAGAGTACCTTGAAAATCTGTCTTTAAAATATTTAACATTTGTTTTACAAACTTCTAAAAGCTCTGAGGGTACTCATCCGCTTAGGGAAATAAGCCCAAGAACCACATGACCTGAAGCATTCTTTTACTCCGCAGCATAAACAGACTTTATGTTTTTTGCCACGGTTATATGTTTTTGTCACAGTTTATAACAAGATAGGAGGCAAAGAGAGAAAGAGTAGGTTTCATTAGGTCATCTTTCCTCCTGTACTGTGACTACAGAAAATTAAGATAAGATTAAAACAAATTTAGCTGATGTGAATTAATCTAATGAGAACTTGAATATTTCTAAGGAAACAATATATTGAGATTCTTAGTAAGAAAAACAGTTAAAGTTACAACTTCACAATTTCAGTCTTTCCTATTAAATTGTTTATATATTACTTAGAAATTTTTGATCCATATCACTATGTTTGCTAAAGAACTAGGATTTATAAGTATAAGTTGAAAATGAGTACTTATCACCTTTTTAATTAATTATAATTTGAAGAAAAGAGCTAAATCCAGTATCTAATAGTGCCTTAACTGGAATAAGGCCCACTGTGATAATTTCCCTGGAAAATGCTTAGTGTTAAACACAAGTAATATTCCAGTAAATGAACCTTTTCTTACTATATGCAACATTTGCCTCAACATGTCTTTATATTTAGAAAAGTAGTCTAAACATAAACATAATGCCTAGATATAAATGATCAACATAAGGTGAAGTTTATTTTGCTACTGATATCAACACTCTTATAAGGTTTAAAGTATCTTAAGACAAAAATACCTGGCTATTTTTTTTTAATAGGACTGAAGTACCATCGTCAACTTCAAATTCTCCATAGTCTTTTAGACATCGCACCTGGAAGGAAAAACTGATGTTTTATCTAAATTATTTTTAATATGTAGTGACCATAAAATAAATAAGGATTATATAAATACCCACATAGTAAAGTACTAGGCTTTCTTTCAGTTTGTTCCTTCTCTGTGTACACAGGCCTAGTACTCCTACTGGGTTATTTTAGTGGTTCCAGCTGTCTTGTTTTGATGGGGAGGAAGAAAAGGGCAAAATCTCAGAATGTGTATGTGTATGTCACACTGACAGCAAGGAAAACCAGGGAGCTGCTAAGGGGAGATATCATTGCATTGTTTCCCCTCTGCAAATCCTGAAATATCAAGCAGTTGAAATATATATTTACAAAGAAATGAGAATGTTTTAGATCCACTCCAACCTGCCTCCTATAGATCCCTCCCATGAGATAACAATATCTGAGAACAGGTCATAGGTAAGTCTCCAAAATTTGTTTTAAAAAGATTTTTCCAATCTCTTTAGATATTCAGACTCCTTCCCAAAAATAGTTAGAAGTACATCATGAAAGAGCAGATGCAGACTCGTGTTATAAGATTTGAGAGATTTTTACTCAGAAGGTAGGAAGTATAAAGAAGCCTTTTAATGACGACTTCTGCAACTGCAAAGAAGGAATGTCCCTAGAGAGGTTACAGAACTAGCTATAGCTCCAGGAGTTGCTACAGGAAACCAGGATGTTTTTGTTTTTCAGAACTCAAGACTGGATTTTATTTTCCTGAGTAATAGTGTTGGTATTAGTAAGGCCGACTCCAGCAGCAAGTTTCAGTCATTTACTTTTCCTAGATAATTTCCTCATGTCATATAATTCATCCAGAACCTTACCATGACTCCCCAAAGTATTTTAACTGAGTTCAAGAAATACTATTTTAGAAAAATCCCTACTACCACTACTACCTTTTTACTTCCTTAAACATATTACTGAAAATCTCAAACATATTCAAAAGTAAAAGTAAATAGGCTAAGATTATGAAACTCAATGTCCCATCAATTGGCTTCAACAATTAACATCTGGCTGATCTTGTTCCCTCACCCACTTCTAGATTTTGAAGCTAATCCTAGACACAGACAATTTCATCTATGACTATTTTAGTATCTATTTCTACAAAATTAGATTCTTTTTAAAAATACGATCTCAATACTATTATATCTTATTAAAAAAATTAAATTATGAAATATCCAGTTAGTATCCAAATTTTCTAATTTATCCCATAAATTTTTTTACAAGTTGCCCTGCTCAAATCAGAGGCCAACCAAAGCTGCACATTACATGTTTCTGATACGTCTCAGTCTTTTTTAATCTAAAGAGTTCCTTCTCCCTTTTCACTTCTCCTTGGCAATCTGTTAAAGGAACTGAGTAGTTTGTTTGGTAGATTTTCTTGTGGATTCCTGTGGGGTCATTTAACATGTTCCTCTATCCCTGAATTTCTAGAGACTGGATCAGATCTGGTCTAGTTTTCCAGCAAATGATGTTATGTATGTCCTGTTGCAAGACCTCACACAGCAATGTCTAGCTGTCTGTCCCTTTTTGGATATGTGGACCCCAAGAAGAAAGGTTCATTTGACGTATCCAAGAAAATTTTACCTGCTGAAGTGGATTCCCCATGGTCAACTAAGGGCCCAAATTTGATAAATAATAAGAGCCTAGCAGCCATTTGCTGACAGGGACTTCTTCTCACATACACTGTATACCAAGAAGAATCTCAACTGAACTCTGCTTCATTCATTATGTCCCATTTGTTTACACTACGAGCCAACCACAGCAGGGAAGCCCTGGTTTCATCTTTTGACCAATGGACTAAGACCTGCCCTGTCTATAACTACACAAATTATATCCTCATTTGCATCTATACCGACCAACCAGAACTGCATGATTTGGACCAAACAGAACTGTACAATTTGGAAAGCTCAATTACATGAAACAGACCAAAACAGGAACTGTGGGCAAGAATATTCTCTATAAAAGGTGACCTCTCAGTGGAGAGGTCTCAGTTGTCTCAGTGGAGCAAACTTTCAGTTTCTGCCAGATACACCGCCTCTCCCTGGTTTGCAAACTATTACCTAAATAAAGTCTCCTCTTTTTCACTCCAGTGCCCTTTGGATTTGTTTACAGATGTTAAGATTGATCAGTAGGTCCAGGTGTTATCCAGACCCATTCATATCCATCCACTATTAAGGTCTCCATTACCTTTCCACCTGTTTTAGTAGCTATTAGCCTCCATGTGTTAGGGTTACGAAATGTCATTAATCTAGTGCTTTTATTCTTATTGCATTTATCAGTGGGAATTTTATAAAGAAGAAATTTCCTTTATAAATAATTTGGCTACCCCGAGATAGTCTGTAAAGCAAAGGCAGATGAACGCTTGATTACATTCTTTTATTTGCTGCTTTTCAAAATGAGTTGCATGCCTTATATTCTCCAGGGGGACCCAAAGTTTTTTAAATTCTTGTAATTGTTGTTGCTTGGTGTCGTTATACATTCATACTGCTAACATAACTGATGTGAATCAATTCACTCCAGTTACCATTCATTTTGATGCTCAAATTATCCCTTCTTTGTCCAGTGGGAGCACCTTCAAACCAGTTCCCAAGTCTTTTGAGCACTCCCCATGTAGTCCTTGATACTTTCTTTGCTTTCTAGGAAGATAAGGTGTTTCATGCTCAGCCTGTATATTTTTTATCTTAGACCTAGAATTAACTTTTCTTATTTTTATTTTTCCAAGGAGTTCTGGTTTCCTTTAGTGGGAAATGGCATTTAGACTCCAAAATTTGGACGGTCATGGCTAGTAGTCTGGTTGTTGTTTCTAGGCTTTGTCAGTGGATAAAGCTAGGAAATTCTTTTTTAAAAAAAGAAATGATTCAACCTGAGTCCATGCTGATATTTCAAACTCGAGTTTGGGAATATAGGATTTTCACTTAGCTTTTTCATTTTAATATTTGAATCTCTTCTCTTATTTTGAAAATCTTGGATCCTAGTGTCATACTTTCTTGCTCTATTTTTCAATATATAAACTGTTTCAAAATAATGGCAACAATTATTACCAATAATATGATTACAAAAAAAAACAGGTTAAAACTTCTTTATAATTCTTTTCATCCTTAGAACATACCCACTATAAATATATAATCAATTTATGTTTTAAGGTAATTTAAAATAATTCCAGTTTGACTAATCCAAAAATTTAAAACATAGGTTTGTTTCATTTTGCTTTCAAACTTTGTGGGTTGGTTTACCACTTTGATTTAATAATATGTAAAATGTTTACATGGTTCCAAAGTCAAAACTATTAAAACAGTTCTAATCAGTAAATTTTAGCTCTTGGATCCTATTCCCATCATCCTCCTTTAGACAGTATTTTTTGGTTTTGGTTTAAGTTTCCTTTCCTTTTTAATATAAGCCACTATTCATATACTCCCTTTCTTAGACAAATGGCAGCATAATCTATACATTAAAGAAAAATCCACTTTTAAGAGGTACACTTACTTCAATATATAGGCTTTTTGGAGGTTTCATATCCTGTGTAATATCTAAACCTTCATCTCCTCCCAATGACCTCATATAAGTAGCAAGGGACTTTTTATAATGATTAAACCACTCCATCTGCAAATATAAAGATGGTCATTTGAAAAGTTATAAGAAAACAAACTTGCAGAAACTGTATACTTACCGTTTCAAAAATAGCACATATCCCCAAATGGATCATTGCTATAACCATTCATTCATTTAAATTATAGACATATCTTGTTTTATTACACTTCACAGATAGTTTTTGGGGTTTTTTTGTTTTTGATTTTTTTTTTTTTTTGCAAATTAAAGGTCTGTAACTATTTCCAAGGTATACCTATACAAATATTGATTGCCTGCTATGAACCAGGCACTGGTATAGGTACTTAGGATGAATAATTTAACAAAATGAACGAAAATCTCTGTTCTCTCAGAAATTACATCCCAGCATACCTAATCACAGACCTAAGGAACATTTCGCAGAAACAGAACAATGAAAAATATGCCATTTCAGAATTATAATTTCTTCAATTTCTGCATTGATTTTTCTGAAAACTCTAAGACATTGTTGAGAAAAACATCCAAATGTCCATCAACTAATGAACGGATTAGATATGTATATCCATACAATGGAATATTATTCAGCCACAAATCGAAATGAAGTTCTGATGCATGATAACATATAAAGGAACCTTGAAAACTCGCTAAACATGCTAAATGACAGACACAGAAGACCACATATGCATATTTCTACTTACATAAACATTCCATAATAGGCAAATATATAGAGACAGAAAGTAGATTAGTGACTTCTAGGGGCTGGGAAGAGGGAAAAGAATATGTAGTAAAACTGATAATGGTTACAGGGTTTCTTTTAGGGGTGATGAAAATGTTCTGGAATAAGACAGTGGTAATGGATGCATAATTCTATGAATACACTTTAAAAATACCAAATTGTTTACTTTAAAAGGGTAACATTTATGGCATTTGAATTATATCTCAGATTTTTTACTGAGAAATTTTTTTTAAAATGTGGAATGTTTCACGGATTTGCGTGTCATCCTTGCGCAGGGGCCATGCTAACCTTCTCTGTGTCGTTCCAATTTTAGTATATGTGCTGCCGAAGCAAGCACTTTATTGAGAAATTTAAAAAGATCTAAATATATGGAAGGATATACCATGTTCATAGATTGGATGATTTAGTAATGTAATAATGCTACTAGATCTATAGATTCAATTCAATCTCAAAAATCTTATTTTTTTTTAAATATGGAACTTGACAAATTGAGTCTAAAATTTACATGGAAATGCAAAGGGTCAAAAATAGTTGAAACACTCTTGAAAAAGATCAAGATGGAAATACTTGCACAAGACTTATTTTAAATTTACAATATTGTAACAGTGTGGAATTGATGCAAGAACAGACAAACAAAGAAAACAGAAGAGAAAACCCCAAACCAAAATCCAGAGACACTCAATTTATGACAAAAGTGGCACCATGCACAGAGCAGTGGGGAAAGGAGAATTTTTTCAATAAATGGTGATGTCATCTCAATATCCATATTCAAATGTGACTTGACTCCTACAGTGAACACAAAAATCAATCCTAGTACTGTAGACCTCCTTGTGAAAAGTAAAACAATATAGTTCCGAAAAGACTACATAGAAAAATTATTCGTAATCTTAATTAGGAAAACACACACACACACAAACCCTCAGGTTCAATTTGCCAGAATGACACAGAACTCAGAAAAACACTACACTTACAATTATAGCTTTACTGTTACAGTGAAAGGGGTAAAAATCAGTACCAGACAAAGGAAGAGAGACACAGGATAAGATATGCAAGAGTCCCAAACACAAAGCTTCTGCTGTTCTCTATCAGTGGAATCAGGACACATCACTCTCCTCGCACCCTGCTGTGTAACAATACACACAGAATATTGTCAAGCAGGGAAGCTCACACAAGCTTTGGGGTCCAGAACTTTTATTGAGGTTTCATTTCATAGGCACAATTAATTGAATCACTGGCCAAGTGATTAAGCTTGATCTCTAACTCCCTACTCCTCTCTGGAAAGTTGGACTGATATCAAGATGCTCAAGGTCCCAACCTGAGGGGACAGTGGGACTCCCCCCTCAAATGTGTAGCCAGTTGATTAGAAAAGAGGGTGGCCCTGGGAATGCCTGAATTTATGGCTGGTGGCTGTAACTGAGGGAATCAGGCATAGAGAAAGCTCAAGTTACTTGCCCAAGATTAGGCAGTGGCAGAGCCAAGATTTGAACCCAAGTCTGCCTGACTCCAATCCTGAGTCCTCAAATATTGAGCTAGCTTTCTGCCTCACTGACTGAACAAATCAAGTTTCACTACAAATATTCATGTTGATTAGAAAAGTGTACACACACACACAAATACACACATACCTATTTGTACACATTTTATGAAAATCCTCTAATAAAAATGCCAGCTTTTTAATCCTATTGTCATACTTTTTAATCTTAGTGTTATACTTTTTTGCTCTACTCTTCAATATATAAACTGTTTCAAAATAACGGCAATAATATTATTACTAATAACATGATTGCAAAAAAAGATTAAGATCTTTGTAATTCTTTTCATACTTAGAACATACTCACTAGCAATATATAATCAATTTGTGTTTTAAGTAATTTAAAATAATTCCAGTTTGACTTATAGATTAATAAGTAATATAATGGGACCCTTTGTTAAGTAATACTAGTTTATAGCATTTAGCTCCCACCATTCTCATCACAGTATACTAAATAAATACAGACCAAAAACTGCTGAAAAACAAGTGTTAAAAACAAAAAGATAAATACTATTATAAAACAATGCCAGAACCTCAGTATTTTCCAAATTCATAAAGTTGAACAACAGTGCTAACTTACTTCTTCAGCAGACATGTGAAATCGTAAATCATTTGGCAAAACACTGCCATATTCCCACCTAAGTGCTCTAATCCGAAGCAATCGGTCATACCTAGGACATTAAGAAGGTATTAGATGGCTTAACAAAAGGGATATCAGGAGAAAGTTAAGACTCAAAACAACCTAAATGTTTATTTGGCTCCTGAGGCAAATAAACCAACTGTAAGAAGACATCTTTGGGACAATGGAGAAAACATGAATATGGATTGGATAGAGGTGCTATTTATTAGAGATACATACTAAAGTATTCAGTAGTAAAATGTCATGGATGTTCTACAATAGTGTAGCATAAATAAAACAACATGATGCAAATATGGCAAAATGTTAAAAATCGTTACAACTATATGATGGCTCCATGGTGGGGTTCAGAACACTATCCTCCCTAATTTTATTAATATTACAGCTTTTCATAAGAAAAAGTTTTAAAATAAAAAGAAGGGAAGAATTTAGAATCCCTTTAAAGAGAGACAAATCTAAGAATTTCTGTTTTCCATTTGAAATGGTTAATTAGGAAACCACATGGAAAATGCTTCATTGTTCCCTGCCACCCCAATCAAGAACTGAAAGGCTTACAGGTAAGCTATAGTGCAACGTCGATTTCTTAACAATGAACAGTGTCGAAATTTGATGGTTGGTATCAAATCACTTCGTCCACCTGTCTTTGTTTCATTCCTAGTTAAGAATATTTTAAAAGGAAAAGAGCAAATACGTATATTTCAATATAAATAAAAATTTCGAAGCCAACTAACAATTGACTTACATGCTTGTTTTATTATTATTAGCAGTTACCCTAACCAAATAATACCTGCCTCTATATCAGGGCTTTTTTAAATATGTTAAAAGATAAAAAAAAAAGCCAAAAACCAAATAATTTGTCTAAAATCATACTATCAGCATTTCACTTAACTATTCAGTACTTTGCTTTTTTGCACAATGATTAATCTCCATTATTTCCAAAAGACAAACATTGTATTCACTCACTTTTTGGAATTCCTTTATCATGCTAGGATAAGAGACAAACCTAATACCATGGTTCATAAGGTTATGGTCCTATATCATGTTTTTATTCTATGTAGTACCCCTTCTTATAATAAAATGAGTTAAAATGGAGTTAAAATGATCCTTCACTCATCATATTTGTGGATCTTCAACTATATACATGTGTTCTTCACACTGAGAGGGAGAAAATTTGGATCTACTCTATAAAATGTACAGCTCCTTAGATATTAGACAAGTATAACATTTTAAAACCAATTGTATAACTGTTTAATGGGTACGGAGTTTCAGTATTATAAGATGAGGAGTTATGAAAATGAATGATGGTGAGTTGCACATTATGTATGTATTTAATACTATTGAACTCTATACTTAAAAAGTTAAGATGGCAAATTTTATGTTATATGTATTTTACCACAATTTTAAAAAACTGGGGGAAAAAAACAAACCCAGATGTACAGAGAGAATGAAAATCTACTTTGGAGTTTTAAAAAGAACCAGATGAATATGAAAAGAATTCCTTTATACAGTGTGTGCTCCATATCCTGAAAACAGAGGCAAAATATAAGCCCCCAACCAATCATGTCTTCTAGATCTGTTCTATAGACTTCTGCCACTCTGTGAAAATCAAATTTATTCTCCACATTGTTTACAATGTGCTCTGGATTATAAAGAAATAGTACAAATAAAATACACCCAAGATAATATTAAACTACTTTATTAAGTCTATAATAACTTCTAAATACAGGGAACACAGGAAAATCATTCCCTTACTGGACCAAACTCTGTTAGGTCATCTCAAAATGTGTTTAAACTGTTCACTTTTTACCGAGTCTAAGTCACCTCTCTTGTCACCTGGATGACCAGTATGTCTCCCTCTCCTTTCAGCTCCTCTGTCCACTGTCCATACAGCAACCAGTGTGATCTTTCAAAACATAAATGTGCTACCACCTGTCGCACATACTTAAAAATCTCATCTGGTGTCATGTTTTGCCTGCTTTCTAAGCTTCAGCCACATTGGCCTTCTGTGTCAGTTTCTTGAGCATTTCACCCTCTTTCATGACTTAGTGACTTTGCATATGCTATTCCCTCCACCTGGAATACTCTGCCCACAATTACTGCCTCTCTAAAAACCTGTTTTACCTTCAGGCCTCAGCTGAAATGTCTCTTCCATGGAGAGAACTTCTCTGATTCTTCAAACTAATTATATTTTCAATTCATTATTCTCTTTCCTAGCACTCTGCTGTGCTCCTTCACAGCATGTATTCCAATTTGGTTTATCTGTATTTAATATCTGTCCTCCGCATTAGACATAGGGGCAGAAATGTTGGTTACTGTGTTTACTATTGAAATACCAGAGCCATTTGTCAGCACGTAATTGTTTAGTACATATTTGTTGAATGAATGAATAAACGAATGAATAGCTTGGGAACTTGTTTAGGACTTTATATATGCCTTATATTTCTGAAAACCTGTTGTGATTCAGTTCCTTATTCCATCTATAAAGACTTTTCTGTATCTATCCTTAAACACTGTAGTTGAAAATGCTCCTATAGTTCACGAACTCTATAAATCTTATCAGCATGCTACTGATTTCTATATCCAAATAAGTGATAAAAACATTGTACCTAACAAGGCCAAAGACGAAACCTCATGTCACAGATAACTTCTCTCTAGGTCAAAATCTGAATAACTGACCTATGATTTAGAGGTTGATGTTTTTAAGACTCTTTTGTGTCTTACTCTTCCCCAAATCACAAGTACTCATGAAGTTTATCATATAGCCCTAATTCTCCATTGTGCCAACTACCATGCTTAGCTCTAAATATTCTATAAATCTAGAGTTCTCTCATCTACCAACCTACAGCCTTTTGTAGCACTAGTTCTCAGTGAACTCAAGCTATTGCAAATCATTACTGCTCCTGCTAAGTTTACTAATTGCCCATTTTCTCATCAATGCACTAAGGTGTCTATCAATGAAAACAAGCAGTGGAAACAATACATTTCATTTTGTTCTGGATTTTATTTGCTCATGTCTCATCTCTTTTAGGTTTACCCTAATATCTTTCAAGTCATACCAGTCAAACGACAAATATTTATTGAAACTCCACCACAGGCTAAACACTACTTGAATCCCTGCAGATATAGCCGGGATCAATACCAATCCCTTTAGTCCTGTATACCTAGAGTAAAATCAGGCTAATGGAGAATTAAGAAAACAAAAATAAAAACAAATTACATCTAAAAACTGATGTAAAATTATCTGATGTCGATATCATATTTTAAAATTGTTTTAAAATATCAATCTTATCAAAACTTACACATCTGACTGGTTTTGTTCATATAAAGCTTTCATCTCCTCCAGAATTTGCCTGAGTCCATCCTCCTAGAACATACAAAATGATATTAATCTCTTCACTAAGTCTGTAGCAATATTCTATCTCTACTACGTTTATCTTTGATTTACATCTTATCAAAAAGCAACAGTCCTTTCACACCTACCACGATGGCTATAACAAGTATTGGCAAGGATGGGGAGAAATTGGGCAGGTAGGAATGTAAAATGGTACAGCCTTGTGGGAAAAAGGTCTGATGGTTCCTCAAAAAGATAAACATATTACCATTTTATATAGTAATTCGACTCCTAGGCATATACTCGAGAGAACTGAAAACATACGTTCTTATAAAAACATGTACACAAACGTTTAGAGCAGCATTATTCACAAAAGCCAAAAAGTGGAAACAACCCAAATGTTCATGCACTGATGAACTGATAAACCAAATATGGTATATCCATTTGATGGAATATTATTCAGCCATAAAAAGCAATGCAATACTGATACATGTATCAACATGGAGGAACCTTGAAAACATTATTCTAAGTGAAACAAACCAGACACAAAGGACAAATATTGTATGAGTCCACTTACCTGAAATATAGGCAAATTCATAGAGACAGAAAGTAGATTAGAGGTTACTAGGGGCTGGAGGGGAGATGGGAAGGTGTAATTATTGCTTAATAGTTATAGAGTTTCTGTTTGGGGTGATGAAAAGGTTTTGAAAATTGGAGTGATGGTTGCACAACAATGTGAATGTAATTAATGCTATTGAAATATACACTTAAAAATAGTTAAATGGCAAATTTTGTTATATATATTTTACCACAATGAAAAAATAGAAAATTTAACAATAAAAAGGAAAGAATTACTGACTACACAACCAACACACTGATTAAGGATAATCTTGAATATACTGTGCTGAGCAAAAGTCAGACACAAAATAGTATGTACTTTATGACTGCAACCAGTCCTTTACAGAAAAAGTCTGCAACTCCTGGCACACTGAATCCAGAAATAGGTGAAAAAGACAAATATAATCTGTAATCATGGAAAAGTAAATCTGTGGTTACTTAAGACTGAAAGTGGGAGGTAGCTCCAAAAGGAAAAAGGGAATCCTTAGGGCAACAGAAATCTTGATTGGGATGCTGGTTTTAAGGATGTATGATATTTGTCAAAACTTGAAAATTTGTTAAAATGTGTAAATCAATAAAACAGATGACAAAAACCAAAAATACTACAGAAGCAACAATGTATGATGACTGTAAATTATTATTTACTGAAAAATGCTCTTAAAAGGTTACTACCAAAAAAAAAAAAAAAAAAAGGAACAGTGTTTTGGGTTGTACTGCAAGAATAGAAAGGTCAAAGAAGTTTTTCTATTATCCACCTTGGGACAAATTTTTTAAAAACTTAAAAATACTCTTGGAGGGATAAAAAGACTAGAATTCCGAAATTCATAAATATTACACACTAGGTCTGTCAACAATCCAAAAATATGTAACCCATTTACTTTTCTCATTCTATTTTTAGGACCAAAATACATGCATTAACAAAAAATGCTTTGGCACTACTTATACAATTAGAAAATCAACCCCTTAACCCAGCTCAAATATAAAATAGATGTATTTCCTGATAAAAAATGTAAGCAAGACTTCTATCTTCCCTTTCAACAGCTGGTTAAAAAGAGATCATGGGAAAGTTTGATTTATTAGAACTCAGTTAAATATGCTTTTTATCGGCAAATATTATTTTAAGGAATAGTTGAAACTCTTGTACATTTAATAGATCTGTAGGTATACAAAAGACGAGTGTGAAATAATTTTGTAAAAATACACAAGCTTTCAGATTTAGATTTTTTTTTAATCTGTAGTGGGAATTGTACTTGTTTTGTGCCCCTACCTCAGGCTGTAAGGCCCTTGGAGTCCAATATAATTTTCCTAGGAACTCAAATTATTACCAGTTCCGCATATAGAAAGTGGGTAATAATTTCAAGTCGCTAAACACAGCACCTAACCATGAGGGAATCTGGAATGAACAAGATAGAGTCCCTGCTCTACACCCACTGATTATCACCTCTCTCGAAAGAATGATTCTTGAAAGTCTGTGCAAGTCATAGGCCTCTGGCCCTCTGATCAATCAGATCAATTCTCAGTCTGCCCCTGCTCAGCTGTGTCACAGTGTCCAACTTCTGAAGGCTGAGTCTTCCGGGCTGCTGAGTCACCTCACTAGCAGGTGGGTTTGTCAGTGAAAGGCATGAATCCAACGAAAGGTACAAAAAGTTCTCCATTAAACTAAGACATAGTTTGATGAAGAACCTTTTGTACCTAAGAGGGAGTGATTCTACAACTTCTTAGTCTCGCTCTCCCAAAGTAGTAAAGCAACACTTATCTACACATCTCTTCATTCCATCATCGCTACTGAAATTCTCACTGTTGTCTCTTAACTTTTTAAAGGAGGTAACTGTCCTGAAGTTGAAAGAATAACAGACTGGAATCTAGGAAATCTGTGTTCAAAGTGAGGCTCTGCCTCCAATATGCCATTATCTGATCCATAATTTCTCTCAGCTCAGCTTCCTCATCTGTAAAATGCCCTAATTTTCAAACCAGGTGTCCTTAATTTCAAAAATCACCTTCCCCAAAACATCTCCTGAATTCTGATGTTGTTTACTCAGCTCCCTGAGAAGCCTCCCAAGATCTTGATTCCTCCCCCCTCATTCCTTACCCATCCCATCTCTACCCCTGTTCTAATAGTTACAAGTCTTGTTTGTTTTGAGTCACTAAAATCCAGACACCGATTTCAGGGCTACATTAGCTAGACACAGTTTGGACTATACCCATCTTTCACCTGATCCATTATAACCACCCAGAACCATCTCTCCATGCTTTCTTCTCTCCAACACATTCCCCACAGTGCTGTCATAAATATCTTCAAAACATAAAAAATGACCCAATCACTCTTGTCTTCCAAATGCCTTATGAGTGAATATCAAACTCTACTAGACCTAGAACCCACTTTTGTAGTCTCCACACACACTCTGTCAGTCATCCTTTCTATGTGATCATGTGTCTCTGCTATCTGCTATATCCTTTGGCAGGTCACATCCTTCTGAGTAGTGACCTCATCCTTCTAGGTGTGGTTCAAACGCCTCCCACCTCTAACCCAGCTCAAATGGAGTTTCGCCTTTGTGCTCCTTGTCTATACCTCTTTGGTATAACTTTACAGGTTACATTCTATTACCTGTTTCATGCCCCTATCCCAGCAGAACGTGTCCTGGCATCCACATAGTAGCTGCCCTATGACAAGGAATGTAGTCAAGCATAGAATTCAGAGTGTAAGTCTGAAGCCAGACCACCAGGGCTTAAATCTTTAGCTTTACTTCTTATTGGCTGTCACTATGTGCAAGATAATCTCCCCAAGTCTCTGCATACATAGCTGGAAAAAATGGAAAAACAGTTTTAACCTCAAAGTGTTATTATGAGGACAAGAGATAATGTAGGTCGTGTTTACCACCCTGACTGGAGGTAGTAGTAACAGAAAAATAGGAAATCTCATAATAGTGATTAATAGCAGCAGCACTGGTAAAAAGACTTAGTCATTATGTCAAGTATTGTTCAGATAACCTGGCATACACCATCTCACTGAGCCCTCACTATACCAAGACTTGGGTACTATTATTATCTTCCCTATTTTTGCAAGAGAGAAAACTGAACACACAGAAAGCTTGAGTAACTGACCTAAAGTCATGTAACAGGCCAGAATCTCAGCCTGGCTCCAGAGGCCTAGCTTTTGACTGTTTACAACAAATGCTAGATTATCAGGCACCCAACAAATGTTTGGTTAAACAAAGGTAGAGCAATAAAGCTATACATGAAAACACTAAAGGAAATATATTCATATAAGGAAATGCACCTAATAGCTGGATGATATAAGCATGAAGACATTCTTTTTCTTCCCAGACTCTCCTGCAACGTTCCAAAATCTTGGTTCGCGACTTTGGAACTGACACCATTAAGAAAGCAAACCCTCCGGGAGAAGTGCAAGGGAAAAACCGCGAGGGCTCGGCTCCGCCCCGCTCCGCTCCGCTCCGCCCCGCAGCCCGGCCCGGCCCGGCCCGGCCCTGCCCTGAGGTCCGGGCCGCAGCACGCCCATCCAGTCTACCCGGTCCCTCCTCACATTGAAGGCTGGCAGCTGCCCTTCCGGCGCACGGTACAGCTCGCGGACCAGCTCCATGGCCTTTTCGCATAACATGACGGACACACCCCGGTCCCGCGGCCCTGTCGACCGCCCGCTCTCACGCCAAACGGTCGCCGGACTCACAGCCGCCGTCCTCGGGTCCTGCCGTTCCCAGTTCCACAGCTCCCGATCCTCGCCTTCGCCTCCGCTCTGCCTTTGGCGCCAAACACGCCCAGCCAATAGGAACGCGCTATTAGACCTCCTGGCCTACGGCAGCGGCAAAGGGACACATTTCCTCTGTGCTGCACGCAGTACAAGAGGAGTAGGGTGGCCCGGCTTCAGGAGGAGAGTGGGCGGGCCTCGATGCGACCCTGTAAACTGAGCAGAGATTCTTTTCCGAGTCTCCAGACCGCAAACCTAGCAACTTTGCGCTCAGCACAGCTTGAGAAGAATGCATATCTCGCAAACTTCCTTTTACCATTTGAGTCATTCATTTTCGTTTAGGGGTGCGCATTGTGAGGTTTAGAAGGCCCAGAAACTTGGTGTGCATTGTTAAGATACAGCGTTTCCTTTGTTTAGTTTTGCAGTGTGGGTATTTTGTTTTATAATTAAGGGAAACCAACTTTTATTGGTTATCTCCTGTGTGATAGGGGCTGTGACAAATGTTTCATTTAATTCTCAGAATTAACCCTAAAGTGGTTATTAAGACTCTTGGTACTGATTGGGACACAGAAGTTTCATAACTTGCCCAAGGTCACATAGACTCTGTATTTAAGCTTTCAACTCCACAGTACTACCTTTGATTTTAAAAGTTATTTAAAAAACATTTGTAAAATAGCAATAGTCACAAGGTCAACAGAGTGGTAAAAATGCCCTCTATTAACACAAATTCACATGGTCATATTCTTGTTTACGGCATTACAGAAATTTTCATAACCATATAGAATCAAAGATGGAAATTACTGCTATAGAAAATTCATTTTACTTGGCTATTTTTTTTAAGAAATAATTTTTAAAAAGCAATATTACTTGGATTCATTCTAGCTGAACCTAGAATCTAGGTTCCTCTTTCTCAAAAACAGATATAGTGGATGTGTGATCTGAGAAATGAGCATGGGAATGGCCTCCAAAGCCTGATTCTTATCCTTACATTGAGCAACATTTCCTTTTCAACTCTACAGTAAGATATAATTTAGCTATGTGTTTTTATTAAATACACAATTCTATAGTGGACTATGCTACAGGATTGTGAGCCAAAGGACACCAGCATCCACAACCTTCCTTTGCCATAAACCTTTTTAATTTCGAACCCCAGGCCTGAGATTCACTTCCTTACCTGTCCAGTATGGACAATAGTACCCACTTCTGAGGGGTTGTGATGATTCATTATCCCTTCAGCAAATATTTATGAAGTGTCTACTGTGTACTAGGCATTGTTCTTGACACTGAAGATAAAGCAGTGAACATAGTCCTTGCTCTCAGTCTATGTTCTAGTGTGGGAAAACAGCAATATACAGACAGATACACAGAAAAGCGCGAAGAAGAATAATGTGAATTGAATAATGGTGAGAGGGCCTAAGAGTTTTAGTGTTCAAAGGCGGCACAACCTAAAGTGGGGAGGAAGCCATGTGGATATGGGGCTACAGGGAGGGCAGAAAATTCTAGGTAAGAATGCAGTGCAAAGGCCCCCAGGAGGGATGTGTGGTGGCTGGCACACATGCCACCCACATCTCCCCTGGGGGCCTCTTGCATCAGCAAGGAGGTAGTGACTCTGGAACAGGGTGAGCAATAGAGATGCTGGTGGCTGAGACTAGATCAAAGGCTAGAGAAGCTTATGAAAGATAAGCTTTTGGTTTTATTTTCAGTGAGATGGGGAGACACTGAAGTATTTTGAACAAAAAAGTGTCAGGACTGGACCTGGGTTTTTAAAAAGACATTTGCAGCAGCTGAGATAAGCAGACAAAGGCAAAAGTGGAGGCATATATAGACCACTTGGGCTATTAAAATAATCCAAGTGTGAGATGATGGCAGCTTCGTCCAGGTGTTAAGAAGTGGTTAGATCTTGGATAGATTTTGAAAGGAGATTTGACAAGACCTGCTGTGGCATAAGAAGGGAGAAATCAAGCATGACCCCAGCGTTTGGTCTGAGGAACTGCAAGGATGGAGTTGTCATTCTCACAAGAGGTGAGGAAGGTTATGTATGGTTGGACCTGGGAGTGGGAGAAGAGTTGGGAGCACAGCTTTTAACATAATTTTAGGTGCCTGTAGGATATCAGAGTGGATGAGTAGACCATTAAATAGAGGAGTTTAGAGTTCAAGGAAGAAGTGTGGTCTAGAGATACAAATGTAGGTGTTACCAATGTGGGGTGGTATTTAAAGCCTGGATAAGACCACTCTGTGTAGACTAAGAGTTGAGGACTGTACGGGCAAGGCCTAGTACCAGCAAAAAGCCACAATACCCCTTACTCTCTTCTCTCCAGCCCTTTCTTCCTTTTTTTTTTTTTGTTTTTGTTTTTGTTTTTCTATTAAAGAATATTCAGTGTTAGAGTAAAAAATATTTTTTACAGTTTAGTTGCTGGATTCCCAACCTCCGGTATGTTACTACATCACTTTAAGAATTTACCATTTAAATTTCAAGTGTATTTGGATAAGTATTAATGCTTGTTGTGATATTCAGTAATATGGTCAATGATACTGTTTTGCATTTTCTAAGTATAATTACAACGCTAATATAAGGAGCTACTGAATTTCTAAAGGCATTTCTAATTGGTCTTAAATTATCAGTTGCCAAGTTTTCACTAATGCAAATGTTGAAATTTCAAGTTACTCTGTAATAAGTAAGCAAATCTCTTGGTTGTAGATCGTTTGTTAAAAAAAGGGGGGAGCATATTAAAGAAAGCCAAAGCTATAAAACTAAATTTGTGAAACTGCTTTTTTTCTTTTCTCTTGTTAGTATAGGTTGAATTAATATTTAATTTGTTTCACAAGTGGGAATTTATCTCCGAAATGGATTTTCTCATCAGCTAGATCTAACTGCCTTATAAAAATCTAAAATCTAATACAGGTTTTTAAAAAGTAAATTGTTTATGCAGCTCGGTTTTCCAATGTTCAGCCCAAAAGCAAAAATTAAAAAAAAGCTACCAGAAAGCATATTCTTTTAGGTAAAGTTCTTGTGAGAAAATTGTTATAAATCATTACAAAAGAATTGAGACTTGTTACCTTTTTCTTTTTGTTCTTATAGACCTTTATAAGGACATTTCCAAGGGATGATCCAGAATGGGTCTCAGCCTTAGAAGAAAGTCAGAAAACCTGGGGTGGGAGCGGAGGGAGCAAACTTTACGCTGCAGCTCCAGCTCAGAGGGTGCTCCCTTTCTGGCCGACATCCTCTTCTGTTCAGACGTGGGGTACGACGCTGAGCACACAGGAGGCGGCGGCCCCACCCCTGGGACCACGCCCAGTCTCTAGCTCAGCAAGACTCTTTCACCCAGCCCAGCAGCGACAAGACGCGGTACACTTACGTATGCCCTTCTCCAAGATGGCTACGGGTCGGCGCCAGGATGCCAGGCTCGCTCCCGGTGGAGCCAGGAAGTAGGTGGGCCGGAGGCGGGGCCGGCGGGAACCAGGCTCTGATTGGCCAGCGCAGCCGGTCCGGCCCTGGCGCACGTCGGTAGTCAGCTGCCGCGGCCTGGGGCTGGGATGTGACGGACTGCTGGTCCCGTCAGTGGCGTCTTCCCTGAGCGGCGGTGACTGCGGCGAGGGCGGCGTGGACAAGGCCAGCGGGCGCCATTGGCGACCGGCCGTGTCGGCCGCGGGATGAGGAAGCGGACCGAGCCCGTCGCCTTGGAGCATGAGCCCTGCGCCGTCTCGGGCTCGACTTCCTCCGGCTCGGCCGCCGCGGTGCTGGACACCGACTGCAGCCTGAAGCGGAAACTGTGCCTGGCGGGCAGGGGACCGGGCGAGACGCGCAGCGCCGCGGACGCGGACATGAAGCGGGCGCTAGGCAGGTGAGGTGAGGCGCGGTGCAGGGGCGGTGCCCCCTTACCTGGCCTGCAGGTGAGGCCACACGCCGCCCCGAAATCCCCCAACCCTTCCATAAGTTATCTGCCTGAGGGAGCGCCCTACACCTACCCTCCATTTCCCTGGTATCTTCTTCCAACCTCCAGACGCCTTCCCCTCGGGATTCTCCCCTTTCTCTGAATCCCCACATCCCTTTCCCTGATGCCTGCCCTCCCGCAGGAGCTCTCCTGCCTGCATCCTCACGCCCCCAGTGTCCTCTTCTAGCCCCCGCACCCACTCACTCACCACTCTGAACTCAGCCCCGTACCCCTATCCTTTTCCAGGTTAGCCATTGGGGGCCCCTTTAGTAACGGACTGCAGAAGCGTCTTTCCTAGGGACTTGGAGCTGAGGGGAAGTCACAACCCCGCGTGGAAGAATAGAGGGTGGGGTTGGGGAGGTGGAACGCGGAAGGGCGGTCGCCAGACCCTGAGAGCTCTGGCTCCAGGTGGATATTCTCTGCGTTGGACTCAAAACCCAGCGCCCTTCTCACTAGGTTGGCGTGTGCGGAAACTGACTCGTATTCCTTTCTCACTTCGGAAATTCTTCTGGGGTATCTAGTTGTCAGAAGTGGCATTCTCTGCTCAGAACTGCTAGACCTTTGGGAGAATGGTTAAATGAGTTGTTGTGTCCAAGGGAACGGAAGGCTACACCGCATCCACAGCTGTTTGGGAGAAACCTGTCATTTGCTGTGCGGGTGGCTCCTGACGCTTGGAATTTGTCCACAGGAGTTGTCTCCTTGAGAGTCTCCGTAATGTTGGGAAATCATTTTGTGTGCTCCCTTTGCGTAGATGTAGATGAACGCGTTTATGTAAAGCTGGTTTCAAAATAGAAATAGGAGTATATTTCACACGGGCAAATTTCTCTTTCCATAAGCTGGTTTCTTAATTATCTGGCTGTTTGTAGAACATATCATTCATTGGAATTTTGAAGTCCTGATGTTTTATGGCGTCGGAAGAAGTTAGTATATTCTCAATGTTGTAACTGAGTCATTTTATTTAGGGTCAGCTGGAATGCCCTTAATTGACACTGGCCACTTCAGTGTAAAATATTTATCCAGATAACCCCTAAAAATATCAACTACATTGTCTAAAAGATCGTTCAATTTAAAACATGAGTATTTGGATAAATAACTGAATGGCTCCTTCAAAATTTCAATTTCATTTCTTAAAAGATCATGAAATTAACCTATAGACTCTAAGTCATTGGTTCCCACAATCCTCCCCAAAAGTCAGGAACTGACAGTATTTTTGTTTTTGTATGAAATTATCTAGCAACTGGTCAATACTTTTCGTGAAACTAATGTGTTCTCTTTTCTGTGGAAAGGTTTATTTGCATTAAAAACTCATGATTAGCTTTAATGCACTTTTATTAACAGGCCTGGCATAACACTTAGATTGAGAAATTCTTTAAAGAAATCAAATTGTAATGCACAATAATGTTTGGAGAAACAATGCTGGCCTGACACCTTCCTTGAAAGAAGACCTATAAAGATTTGATTATTTTTATTTTTATATGGGAGACAGACATTTCAGTGATGCGCATATCCTTTGGATAAGCAAAAGGCTGTTAGGGGAATTAAAGAAAAGCAGAGGACAGAAAGGCCAAATTTGTGTTATACAATGGCTTCCTTCCCTATTGCGTATAATGCTCTTTTGTACATGCTCCTGCTTTGTTTTCTCCTTTATCTGCGTTTCTGCCCAAATGTCACCTCCTCTGAGAAGCCTTCCCAGACCAGTACATCCAAAATAGCCTCCATGCCACCCCCAATCCCTTATTCTGTTAGTTTTTCTTTATTGCACTGATCCCTTACCTGACCTTGTAATTGCCTGCATACTTGACTTGTTTATGAGTTGTCTCCTCTTCCACAAGAATAGAAGCCCCACGAGAGTAGGGACATTGTTTTCTCCACCTCTGTTCTCTAGTGCCTGGCACATAGTAGGTGAGAGAAAATGCTTGTTAAATGAATGACTATCTAGGATAAATTCCCAGAAGTGGAATTGCTAGGCCAAGGGGTGTGTGTTTATAACTTTGAAAGGTAGTGCCAACGTGCCCTCCACAGAAGTTGTGATTTGTATTCCCTCCAGCAATGTCAGCTGCCTCCTCCAATATTGAATAGTACTGGATATTTTGATCTTTTCTGTTTAATTGATGAAAATGACATCTGATTTGTAGCTTTAATTTGCACTTCTTAATTGTGAGGTAGCTATTTTTATATGCTTTTTAAGCCTGTTATATACCTTTGGGATTGTTTTTATCTTTCATGACCCCCTTTTGTTTGGGTCCTCCTTGCATATTTCTTTTAACTCTCTCTTGTGTATATGTTCGAATATACAAAAGTAGAGAAGATGATATAATGAACCTCTTTGTATCCATCACTTTGTTTCAACAGTTTTCCATGTTTTGCCAATCTTGAATCATCTATCCCTTCTCCTCTCCATTATTTTTTTTTTCAGGGTGAGGGACTAGGCTATTTTAAAATAAATGTTTTCATCCATAAATATTTCACAATATGTCTTGAACAAATAAGGACTTTTTGAAATATATATAACCCTAATGCTATTGTATTTATCAAAATTAACAATTTATTATCTATAATAATTTAATATTATCTAATATCCAGTCTACATACATCTCCCCAATTTTCTCAGAAATGTCTTTTTTAAGTTGATTTATTTCAAAATCTTGTACTTTTCTTAAGTTTATTCCTTGTTGTTTTATCTTTTTTGTTTTGATTAAAAATAGAATACTTTCCTATATATTCTTATTGTTATATTTAATAATTTTATAATTAGCAACTTATGTAATCTTAGTTTCTAGTAGTTTTTGCAGTTGGTTCTCTTGGATTTTCCAGGTATATCATCATGTTGGCTGCAAATAATAAGAATTTTGTCCTTTATTTTCTAATTTATGTCTCTAGTTTCTCTTTTCTGATTGGATTGTATGTTCAGAACAAGGTTAAATAATAGAGGTGATACTAGGTACTCTTGTCTTGTTCCTGACTTTAATGAGACTGCTTTTAGTTGTTTTTGCCACATGAGTTATTTTACCAAGGGGTGTGTTGCTACCGATTTGTTTATTTTTAGTCAGAAATGGTTGTTGAATTTTATCAAATGCTGTTTTAGCATCTCTGAAATGATCACATAGATTTTTTTCCTTTGACCTCAGTTATAATAATGGACTTTATATTACTGAATCATCATTATTGAATCATCAGTGTTACCTCTGTTATCGTGTAGTCAGATCGTATTTATTAATAGTTTATTTACTAATTTAACACCATTAAGTCTGTAATTTACTTTTTTAATCCCATCTTTATCAAATTATTTTAGTGTTTTCTATAGCTTTATTAAAAGATTTCTCTTTCTCTTTTTTAGCCAGTTTACTTTTGAAATGATCTGTTTCTTTAAATTTTGATAAGATTCCCCTATAAAACCAACTGAGCCTGGTTTTTTTTGTTTGTTTGTTTATTTTTTGTTTGTTTGTTTAGAAATAGCACTTTAATAACTATTACAGATTCTTACATTTGTTATCTCTTTGTAGGTTCAGTTTTGCTCATTTATATGTTCATAGAAAACCATTTATTATATCTAGCTTTTTCCTCTGTACATGGAGCTATTTCCCTAGACTCGTTCCCTATTTTGCGTATAGTTTTTTCCCCCCTGGTTTTTTCTTGATTTAATCAAGCCAATGATATATCTAATACACATGCATTGGAGTGGATTTTTTTCAAAGAAAAAGTTTTTTTCCAAAGAAAATATATTTTGTTTATTAATTCTGGGAGACCAGGATGATACTGAGGACTCCAGAGATGTGAGAACATCTTTTGTCTGAAGGAGGCAGCGACTACTGCACTCTCTCCTATTGTTGCCTGGCAGGAATGTGGGACCAGGGTGGCGGGATCTTCCAGTCTTTCTAGAAAAGTGGCTGGGTGTGTGTGTGTGTGTGAGAGAGATCTCTAACTTTTTAAACATTGGCAACTAATTCAGATAAAAACAACAACTTTGGAAGATAAAAGAAAATCCAGGTGCTTTTTTTTTTTTAACTTCTGGACTAAAGTGTCATTTATAAAGGTAAATGTTTATCTAACTCATACATCAACCCTGCTGCACTCCACAAGAGGAGGAACTAGATAATAATTTTGCTTTGCGTGTTGTCTGGTATGAGAAGGGGCTTGGCAAATGATAGTTTTTGTGGACCTTTCATGTTCTTTTCAGTATCCCTGGAGTTCTTGGGAATATACATTAAAGTCTTAAGTGGTCTAAATTGGACCCACAAAGGCAGTAATGAGATGTACAGGTCTGTGTGTTTCAGTCAACTAGTCTTTTATTCTTCCACTTCCAGCTCTCAGGCCAGATCTGCTGGATGACTGAGATCAGTGGGCTACATGGGAGGTGTCATAGCTGATGACCCTCGGATGTAAATACAGAAGAACTGAGTCATCACCCTGCTTCCTCCTTAACCCAAAGGAAGGGACTTCATCTAGGGCTGCTCATGGCTTCACCATTACCCAGAAAGGTGGGTGGCTGAGGTTAACATCTTTCTCCTTTAACATCAGCCTTCCTGAGGGTGAATATTAAGTTCACCCTTTAAGCCTTTGCATGGCATTTCTTTATCCTTTCTTTACACATTGAAAAGATGAGAGTGTGTTCTGAACTAGCTTTTATAGTTACAGTCTGCTCTTTTGCATTCCCCTTCTCTTTCTACTCCCCCAGAGTACAGTCTGCACCTGGACTGTGACAAACAAGGGGGCAGGCTTTATTATGGAGCCTTAGCAGGGGCCTTCTTTTTCTAGTTGTGGTTTATCTTATCAAGGCCCCATTCCCGCCCTGGACCCAGGACCCTGGTACTTGGCTCTTTATTTGTGTCTCCATCTTTCGTGGGACTTTGTGTCTTGTATCTCTGCTTGCTTTCTAGTTCCTTTCAGCCAGTATGTACTCTCCCTTCTCA